GGTGGGCCACATCATTAGTGCGTTAATATGTTAATGGTACTTATGTATTATAATATTTAGGTACTTTTTTTATGGACCCCCTTTTTTTTTGGCATTTCTTAAGTTTCCCCTTAAGAGTCAATTTCGGTGACCCTCCGGCCCCGTAGGGAAGGAATAGCCACTTTGACCACACCGCCTAATCCATCATTGTACATGTGTGCACGCTCGAGCGCAGACGCCCTTTTTTATCTGCCCAGCAAAAATATATATAGCTCTCTCTATATATATGCCCCCTTTTGGGTTTCTCCTTTTCTCCACCTACAAATCGCCTAACGTTTACTCGGCGTAGTAGTTTTACGTCGAATCCGAAAGGAAGAAGGGGGAAATCGTCTGCCCGACGAATTAATCGACCGACAAGCTGACTGATCAACGAGTTTCCTAGACAAGATTACGATGGACCGTGTCAGAATGTGGCAGCAGTATTTATCGAGATACGACATTGCCCTTTTGAAGCAAAGGGCACGGGAGCAGCTTATGGAATCGATGAACCGAAACTTTGCCCTTAAAGCGCTATGTTTCGGGGTGCTACTTTTCTACGTCGGAGTGCTCTACATCAAGGCAGGCAACCCGGTAAGGCGACGCGTCGGCATAGAACACGCGCACGAACCGTAACATGCATAAATGCGCACATAAATACATATATCTCCATTGTGTGCACATTTTTCCTTCGTTTCCCCCCGCGCAGAGAAAGCAATCGCTATCCTCCTGGTCTAACTCGAACCAACCCATCGACTACGGAAACACGTATCATCCCTCTCAAGACAAAGTGGAAGAATGGAAACGAAACACATGGACAGATTGGTTGATCCAGTTAGATGATGATTGTAAAAATTTCAATGCACAAATTGAAAAAGAGAAAAAAGCATGGGTCGAGGAAAAAGAAGGAGACTGGGTAATGCTACTGAAACATTTGCAAAACAAGTGGCTACACTTCAACCCTAACTTAGATGTAGAATATAAAGTAGACGTTCTAGCTAAATCAGAGAATTGGGATGAGAGACAATGGAAAATATGGATCTCTACAGAAGGAAAACAACTTCTAGAGGTGGACCTAAAAAGATGGTTTACAAATAACGAGATGATTTATTGCAAATGGACTATGGATGAATGGAATGAATGGAAGAATGAAAAAATCAAAGCATGGGTTACTACCGAGTGGAAAGAAAGTGAAGATAAATACTGGTCCAAATTTGACGATGCTAGTATACAAACCCTAAGTCTAGCAGAAAGAAACCAGTGGGCTAATTGGAAGGAAAGAATATACAGAGAAGGCATCGAATGGAAAAATTGGATTGCCATTAAGGAGAGCAAATATGTCAATTCCAACTGGAACAGCTGGTCCGAATGGAAAAATGAAAAGCGCTTAGAATTTAATGAATGGACTGAGGCCTTCGTTGAAATGTGGATTACACAGAAACAGTGGCTCATCTGGACTGATGAGAGAAAGGATTTCGCCAGTAGGGAGAGGGCCGCCGCGAAATTCGGTGCCACAGGTGGTGCCGCTTCTCCAAGTGGTGCAGCTGCTCCAAGTGGTGCCGATGCTCCAAGTGGTGCTGTTTCTCCAAGTGGTGCCGATGCTCCAAGTGGTGCTGTTTCTCCAAGTGGTGCCGCTGCTCCAAGTGGTGCTGCTTCTTCAAGTGGTTTTGACAATCGCCCCAGATTTGGCTCCTCTAGTGGATATGATAACCGCCCCAGATTTGGCTCCTCTAGTGGATATGATAACCGCCCCAGATTTGGCTCCTCTAGTGGATATGATAACCGCCCCAGATTTGGCTCGTCGAGTGGATATGCCACTCCCGTTAGTTCAGAAGCTGCCCCCGTCAGCTCAGAAACAACCCCCGTTAGCTCAACAGAAGCACCCGTTGCCGAGCCCCCCGCCGCCGAATCCGCAACGAAAAAAGAGGAACCCGCTGCCGAGGCCCTATTGGCAACAAAGCCGGCGCAGACAGAATCAGTCACTTCACAAGGAGAATCTTCCACCACCTCCCTCTAGACATAATATAAGCACAGTGAATTGCGATTGGCTACTCCGCCACTATGACCACAGTTCGAAATAGACAGAAAGAAAGAAAAAAACAAAAAAGAAAAAATTAACCAAATGCATGTGAAAAAAAGGTTCAAAGCGCATTGAGTACCCAATTTAGAAACACACAGAATGGACAGTTTACTCCATTTTTTCTTTTTTTTTTAAAACCCACTTCCTGCATCATACTGAGGGGAGATAAACGCACTCATCAGGTGATTAAATAGAGAAGGAAAAATTGCCAAGTGCGCATATTCTAAGTGACAAATCCAGGAACAACTCCCCCCTATACTCACACACACCCTTTTCTGATTTCAAAAAAACTATATATTACATATATAGCTATACATTACATGTATTTATTTGTATTTCAAATAGTGTTTGTCCTACAGATATTCCCCGCCTGCATTCTGATTATTACGTTTTTTATCCTTTTCACCACTTTGTTTATCCTTTCTTTTTTTTTATTATTTATTACACTTGTTCACACCAGGTTACATCGTTTTTTTTTTTTTTTTATTATTTATTTTTTTTTCCTTTATCCGTAGCGCATGTAACGAAACCGATACAAGGTGTGTAGACTTTATTTAAAAAAAAAAAAGAAATCTTTCTGATTTGTCCTTTGGATAATCAGTTCTCTGGAGGTTAATGCTCCGATGCAGCAGCGTTAGTCATATGTAGTGGTAATTTTTTGCAACCACAGTGTGTTAATGCTGTTATTATCTCTTTTCTCATTCGTTGGAATTGAGGAAGGGGGGGAAAGAAAACGTCTCTCCAACATGTAGCTTATTAAATCACCTTCGCACTTTCTTCGTTCTGGCCCTTCTATAACAGTTCACTCACCATGAGGGAAATTCCCCCCTTACGGCGACCCTTTTTTCAGCCGTAATTTTGTCCCCCACCTGAATATGCGCAACCACTGCACTGAACCGAACCCATTTAACAGATAATTATGTGCCAGGGAAGTACTACTTTTTAAGATGCAGCTAATGTGGTGACTTTCTTTGGGGGGCGGCGGGTATCCCTCCCTGGGCTTCAACAGACAATTTCTTTTTTTCACTTCCCATTCTGTGATTTCCTCCTTATGAGGGGTCGCCGCTTCTCACCAGAGGGGGCACCACCAACATAGAAGGAACTTATGCCCAAGAAGATAGGCATAAAAACTGTGTGTAGATATATCAGTACCCGCGAAGGAGCAACTGGGCTCTCGTCACATCACCGAAAATGTGCACATGGCAGGAAAGGATGTTTCCCCCCGAAGTGCTCAGTGTCATACGTTCGTCTCCATTTGCGCCAGATGAAGGGCTGAAAAAAAGGAAGCAGTCAACCTCCTGGCGGATCCATTTTCGGGCCAAGTACCCAGGGTCAACACACACTTTGCACCCTTTTTTTTTCTCTTTCTCCCTAAAATCGTGTTTTATCAGTTCAGCGCCCGTGTGCCACATGCACAGGAGGGGAGTTCAGGAAGCGGTCACTGTTGGGGCTATACAATAAGAGGGCCAATCTGCCTCCAAACAGTGCAGTGATCAACCGTGCAACCACATGGTCGCTTCTCCCGTGGGAAGACAAAGCCGCAGGAGAGAATACTATACGGTCAACTCAAGCAAAAAGGACCCCCCGCACAGTGCTGGGGTATCACCTAGATAAGCTCACCAACTTGCGAAGAAGCGGTGTGAAAAGCTGCGGTGTGCCGCAAAAAATTTACACATCACATTTTCTAGAATGAAGCTTCTTTCATTTCTCTCAGGAGGGTAAACAATATATAGATAAAAAAAAAAAAGAAAAGATCAAAAAATGTCGATTTTTTTTTCACGCTTTATCTTCCCTTAAACAGATTAGTTAAACGTATGCATTTAAACATTCTTTGCGAGTGCGATTTCTTTTTTTTTCTTTTTGTGTTCCTTTGTGTACTAAAACAGTAAACTCTCGGGTGAATACGAATCGTGTTTTTTTTTTTTTTTTCAATGTAAATCCATGGCAGAATAAAATTTTCCTAAAACGAGTTTGCCTTTCGCACAATTGTGTCGAGGTTTTTTTTTATCTGCCTATTTTCTTTTTTTTGTTTTTTTATGCTCAATTTCACCCCCTCACAGCAGAGCTATTTTATTAAACTCCTACGTAACTCGAGAAAGGGTGTGAAGGCTTATCCGTGCAAAGGAAGAAGCAATGTACGTGCGAAGATGACTAATGGGAAAAAGGGGGGTCGATCTCATTATTTTTTTCTCACCCTTAAAGTATACATATCAAGTGTTAAGCTAATATGTACGTATGGTAAGCATTTATATATGCGCATGCATGTATCCCCCACGGTGATAACTACCCTGTACATGCATACCCCAAAGGTTAAAATGAAAATGCTAGACCGTTTGTGACCCTTTTTCTGATTTCTTCTCGTTTTGGTAACACCATAAAGTTGGCATCGTTTTACTGTGCTGCTTCTCATTTGCCATCCTCATTTTGCTAAACCGGTTAAAAAAAAAAAAAAAACTTATGACGTATAATTCATTGCGCTAAAAAGGAATGTATGCAACATTTTTTATTTATTTATTTTTTTTTTTGCGTTTTTCTATTCGGTTGGACTTCCTCTTTTTTTTCTTTTTTGTCCTTCTCTTATATGGCCCTCTTAAAGACGAAGAAAACAAACGCCTTGCTCCTAGTCGCAGATCAAATATGGAATACATTTGAAAAAATTGTCGCTGCACCGACGGACAAGGAGGCCCCTAAGGAGGAGGGGATGTTTTTTCATCTTGCATGATGCAGGAAAAAAAATTAAAAGTATGCCCAAGTCGGGGCGCCTTCTCAGGCACAAAAAAAAAAAAAATGCCACGCGGTGTTCTTAACAGTGCATATTTTGCCAATCACTATATGCATATGTTGTTGGATATATTTTATCACCCATTTGCTACGGACCCCATACCCACATTCAATGAAAAAATTTACGCATGCGCGTATTCCTATGCGCAGCGCATGGTTATTCGTTTTTGCCAACACTACGCGAGTTGTCACGAGCATACTGCTTTAAGCATGCGTGCACGGTTGCCGTAGTCTCGTAGTTGTGTTTTTATTTATTTTTATTTTATCTTTGGAACGACTGGCAGGATGAGGCTACGGCTTGGCATTTTCTGTTTCTGATCTGTCTCATCCTACATTTTTCTAATTTTTCTAACTTTTCTAACTTTTCTAATTTTTCTAACTTTTCTAACTTTTCTAATTTTACTAAGTTTTCTAACTTTTCTAACTTTGCATGCTTTTATTTCTCTTCCACGGTTTATGCAAACGAGCCTTTGTTCACCCATTTGAATTATATACCTTCAAGCTCTTTTCTTTTCTGAGTTGTCATTTTTTTTTTTTAAATGCTTCATGTTCGTACGACGTATATAATGCAACATTTGTGCATGCTCCGTACAAGCCCATGTTTATATTTTCAAAGAACGGTTAACTGGCCAAAGTGGATAATAATTTCCTTCTTTTTGTTTTTTTCTCATTTGCTATAGGTAAAAAATATCGATTTGGGGACGTTCTACACGCCCGCCTAGTGCTTGACTGCATATGCACGCAGATACAAACACATACACGCATACCTATAGGCATACCCTATAACACTTACGCCGTTATAAGGGGGCGCCGCCCCATCATTTAATAAGCGACAAGGTGAAATTGCCCTATAGGAAGCGCCAGCCTTCCAGCACAAAGGAACATTTTATTCCTCTTTATTGTAGCCCCTTAACTGCAAAAGGGAAAGGGCCATCCAATGGGCGCCTAAAAACGCTTTGCCTCCTCAGGAACGAGATAATGGCAGCTACGTAGGGGTAGCGAGCAATATAGCTGGAGCAACGTGTTTTCGCATTTTCCTTATTTCGTTCTTCTTTTATTTCATTCTTTCGTTATTTCATTCTTTCGTTATTTCGTTATTTCATTCTTTCGTTATTTTTGCCTTTCCCCCTCTCTGCCGCTACCCCCCCCTGTACGAAAATGCTTTCGCTCTCCCTGCTCATTTTGACATTAACCTTTTTCGAATATGTAAGACCCAGGATAAAAGGACGCGTCTGTACTGCCACTTTTCAACCCTTCCCATCTTTTACCGCTAACCGCTTACACTGTGTGATGTCGTCACTATCTTTTTTTTTTTTTCTTTTTTCCTGTCACACCCCTCAGAAGGAACTATGTGAACCGTATGGACCCGAAGATGCAGTGGACGCAAAAAGAAGAACCCACCGATGGCTAGCCGAAGTGCAGCAAATGCACCCAGTAGACAGTGAGGAGTCTAATGGATTCTCTCCCATTGAGTCATCACCACCAGAGGGTTCAGAAGACTCAACGAATGACAAAAAGAAAAAAGAAGAGGAACCCTCCTCTGCACTAAAATATGACAAGAAAAAATTAGAATCCCTAAGTAGGGCAGTAAAATACACAAAAAAGCAAAGAGAAACGGATGATAGATGCAATAAAGGATGGAAAAAATGCAGCGTAGAAGATAATGTAGCCATCAAGTACCCTAAGGAAAAGGGGAAGAGGGAAGAAGGAGCGTTCAAAAAATGTACTCAGAAGGAGGAAGAGCGACTAGAAAATATACCCATTAAAAAAAAAGGCAAAGAAATAAACAAAACGTATTGTTATGTGGCACCAAAAAATGGAAAAGCCATAACACAAGAATCCGTGGGAAATTGTCTAAAACAAGAAAACGGGTTGAAGTATCCAACCGTGAGAAGAGCCATCATCGATGGTTACCCCAAATATACTGCTATACCAGAGAAGCTAGTCGAGACCAGCGCTAAGGACACCTTCTATTCTTTAATCAAAGATAAGCCGGAAAAAATCCCTGATAATAAACACTACATTATTAAGGATTACCAAGATAAAGAAGGAGAAACCTACTTCATCACCAAAGAGAATGAGAAACAAAAAGAGCCCAACAGCTGCGTCATTAGAGGAAAGAGAGATAAGAAATCCACAAAGGAAGAGGAACAGGCATTACAACAGAAAGCCAAACAGGTCGATACCGTCATCACCCCTGTTTCGGCAGGAGGGGGAAATACCTATGGAGACTCCAACATCGTCCAGCTATCCTCAGAAGAGACGCAAATACCTTCCCTACGGAGGGACGCCCTCCAAGTGGTGCCGCAGCAGGAGGAAGAAGAAGAGGAAGAAGAAGAGGAAGAAGAAGAGGAAGAAGAAGAGGAAGAAGAAGAGGAAGCCGTAGAGGAAGCCGTAGAGGAAGCCGTAGAGGAAGCCGTAGAGGAAGCCGTAGAGGAAGCCGTAGAGGAAGCCGTAGAGGAAACCGTAGAGGAAGCCGTAGAGGAAGCCGTAGAGGAAGCTGTACACGAAACCGTAGAGGAAGCCGTAGAGGAAACCGTAGAGGAAGCCGTAGAGGAACCCGTAGAGGAAGCTGTACAAGAAACCGTAGAGGAAGCCGTAGAGGAAGCCGTAGAGGAACCCGTAGAGGAAGCTGTACACGAAACCGTAGAGGAAGATGTACACGAAACCGTAGAGGAAGCCGTAGAGGAAGCTGTACACGAAACCGTAGAGGAAGCCGTAGAGGAAGCTGTACACGAAACCGTAGAGGAAGCCGTAGAGGAAGATGTACACGAAACCGTACAGGAAGCCGTAGAGGAAGCCGTAGAGGAAGCTGTACACGAAACCGTACAGGAAGCCGTAGAGGAAGCCGTAGAGGAAGCTGTACACGAAACCGTAGAGGAAGATGTACACGAAACCGTACAGGAAGCTGTACACGAAACCGTAGAGGAAGATGTACACGAAACCGTACAGGAAGCTGTACACGAAACCGTAGAAAAACCCGTCAAGGACTCACTGGTAAAACCAAAACCCCAATACAAACCCATACGCAAAGATATAGACTGGTCCAAAGTAGACGACATGCCCATAGATGAAGAAATCGGAATGTACGAAAAAGAAATGAATTACTCCATAAAGGAAATCGAAGAAATGGATGAATTTAAACCTGACTCGTATATCCTTGAAGACGTCCTGTACGACATAGGTTGTGAAATTTTGGAAGAATTAGAAAAAGCCAAAAGCTGAAGAAAAAGAAAGAAAGTGAAAGTCTGCCTAGAAGGCCACACAGCATGTATTAGAAGGCTCCAAGAACAAGAAGTAAAGAGAATCAGACGAGTGTGAGGAGAAAAAAATAAAAAACGAAAATAATCGCAAATAGAAAATAATCGCAAATAGAAAATAATCGCAAATAGAAAATAATCGCAAATAGAAAATAATCGCAAATAGAAAATATTCGCAAATAGAAAATAATCGCAAATAGAAAATATTCGCAAATCGGAAAACATCTTATGGAGGCTCTCCAGCCCCCATGCCAATAGCACCTGTGCGTGCTACTCTAAGACAGCGTTTTGTATCTACCCCCATTCCCCCTTATCAGAATAATTTTTCTATAAACATGTGAACATTTCCACAACGTTATAAATACTTTCTTGATTAATGTCACGACGCGTTTGTTTATCACTTGTTTTTGTTTGCTTCTTTTTTTGTTTCCTTCTTTTTGTTTGCTTCTTTTTTTGTTTCCTTCTTTTTGTTTTCTTCTTTTTGTTTGCTTCTTTTTGTTTGCTTCTTTTTGTTTGCTTCTTCTTTTTGTGCCCTACTCTTTTCTACCTAGGCATTATGCGTGCATGCCGATATTTACACTATTTCCGCGTGCGCACAACGCGCCGATCATTTTCGCCCAAAACAACCAACAACTCTCGTGACGAAACGTTTGTACCCTCATGTAAATGACCTTCTTTTTCTGTGACTTCTCTGTAATGCCAGCACGTATGCCGCTTGACCGCGTCAGGTTGAAAAAACAGACACTATTTTCTTCCTCACTTCGTCCAGTGCCTTAATGGGCACACATATAGCAATGGGGAAGAAATAACTATCAGGTAACTAAACATATCTCAGAGAGGTGGGAATACAAACGAAAAAACGTAAAGAACGTGCCCTCGTCATCCCATTTGAAAATGTCTCTCCTTTCATCGCACTTGCATCTTTTTTTTTCCTCTAAAAATATTATTTCAAAATGGGGTAACACCTCTGTTGCATAAATATTCAGACAATCACCTCCCCACACAACCACCTCCTTGTAACCCTTTTTATTTTCCCCTTTGGAGAGGCATTCTACTTCGTTGTTCTTTTAGTTTGTTCTCTTCTAGTCCATGTGTGTCGGTACCCCTTGTACATCTGTTCACTTCACAAACGCATTTTAATTATTTTCTTGTCTCTTCATAGAATCACCCACGAACAAGTGCAACCAGCTTGGTAGCCACCGGAGGCGATGTATGAATTCAAATCTTACATGTCATGGTGTGTGTGTTTTTTTTTTTTTCATATCCCTTCCTACTCCCAGAAAAAAGAATAATGATAAATTGTCCTTATATTTATTCTCTTGGGACCCCCGTGCAGGTGACTCGCCCCAATGGAAGTGTGCCCCATCGAGATCAGTTGTGTAGAAACTTTCCGTGTCAGCCGCTAACAGGACGTCCACTCAAACAAATTAAAGAATCGACCATTCGTATGGGGTCCACCAGCAGACAATGTTATCCATATATACTCATCGAATAGACAAAAGTATGAAAAAAAAAAAAAAAAAAAAAAAAAGATATGTAAAGATAACACGACGGGGAGTAGTGGCACACTTCCATGTCGAGCCACCTCCACAACAGTTACACGCATAGTCATCGAATTTTTTGTACTCAGTTTGGGAAGAACGAAGAACCGTCCCTCTATCGATGGGCATATGTTTATGCTCCACATCGCAGTGGTGAAACCGCGGGCTTCTTTCGGACAAGTATTTTCGCATTTATAGGAAGATTCTTTCCCCTTTTTTTCCCCTTTTTTTCCCTTTTTTTTCTCTTTTTTCTCCTTTTTTTTGCCACTCACTTGTCCATTCTTAATGATATAAAAATAAGTGGGTAAACATAGGGGGCGAAAATGGCTATCAAAATAGCTTGCACATTGAGTCCAATGCACAACGTGGTAATGGACGCCACTATCATGGCAATCACTGGCAAAAAGGGGAATACAAATCTGAGTACTTTCATCGGCTTAGTTTTCCATATCTTTTTTGCCTTGTCCAAAATTTTTCTATAATTTCTGTTTTTCTTTATCCTTCTTGATATGTAGTAGACCACCTCCTTTAGCTTCTGTTCATTGGCTATTCTGTAGTATAGTTTCAAGTTGGGGTTGTCTCTGATCACATCACGCTGCAGAGAGTCCATGCTTCCGCTGAACAGAGAATCGGTACTTCCACTCAGCAACGAATCAGTACTTCCATCAGAGGAGTCGCTAATCTCACTGCACAGAGAATCGCCACTTCCATCATATGCTGTTCCAAATGATAATAATGATCGTCCCTCCGATAGAAAATGTTTTTGGTTCCCTGAATGGTGTTCCTCATTCGGCGTTATACATGCAAGGCACTAAAAAAAACAAAGAGCATCCCATGAGAGATGGTGCCAAATGGGGAAAAACACCATCGGCGGTACTTCACTTTTGTGTGTATTACACGCAGGTGGGCCCCCATAAGCATGCGTACATAAGTGGCGCACATAAGCGGGCATATAAGCGGCCCACATAGATACCCCCCTATATATACACTTGTGCGCTTTTATTCCTTACATTGCTGGGAGTGCATAGCATCCATGCTAAAGAAACGCAAAAAAAAAAAAATTTAGCTACGACGAGGTAGGTGTTGTCTCGTGCAGACTTGCGACATCCTTCAGGCGGACTCCTTTTCTTGCTATCTACATTGGTGAACTTTTTCTTTGCCCCTTCATCGTGCCTAGAATGCTTAGGAGGCACATCCTGTGAATGCATAATGTTGTAGGGGGCACCGCCCCATCTCATTTTCCCCCTTCTTAAGGTGAGAAAGCTGGAACACGAAATGGGCAGTCTATTTGCATTTTTTGCTTTCTTTGCTCTTTTAGCTCTATTATTTTTTTTTCTTTTTACGTTTCCTTTTTAGCGCTCAAACCGGGCATTCCTTCGTCTGCCACGGTGGTTATGCATACGCACGTGGGCGGACTGCATTGTCAGGGGCGTATAAATGCGCTGCTTTATTTATGCGGTGAATAGTCCACCGTCTGATGGCAGTTTTCTTTCGGCGCAAATAGAAAAAGAAAAAAAAAAAGAAAAAAAAAAGAAAAAAAAAAAAGAAAAAGATGAACTTACTGAGCAAAGAACAAATAATTATAAAATTCATGAAAAAGGAACAAATTAAGGACTTGTAAAAAATATATACAAAATAGAAAGAGCTTCTCAGGAATTCTAAAAATGTTACTCCGTGGAATGTCAGAAGTAGAACAGGATATCGGTCCTCATATTTCTTCTGGGAAATTGCGGTAGAAAAAAAGGGTGTTCTAAAATAGGTTCTAAAATGGTGCCACAAGTAGGCCGCAAAAGAAGAAACCATAAACAAAGCAACCTATATGCAGCAGGCGATGGAGAATCCCATACAGCTGAAGCGCCGAAGCGCCATTAACTCCACATGCCAACAGAGCTAGAAGAACATTCCTAAAAATGGCCACAACGGGTAGGTATATGTGGAGCGCCCCTCCCCCCTCACCACGCATATTTATTATCATCTTATATTCATTACAATAATACAATTTTTCGCTACATCTGCGCATGGCCTTACCGAACCAAGAGGATGCAATGATGTTGATTTTTTTCTTTTAATAAAAATAATTAACTGTATATCAATGCCAACGTAAGTTCTCCTCCAAACATTGAAGAGTTGTCACGCCCGTTCATCCTAAAC